TGCATACCGCCACCTACTGTACAAGAGTGTGTATCACCATATCATCCTATCAGCACTTGTGGAATTATACCACTGTGTTTACGTTGTTTTAAATTATTCCAAACAATCCTGTTTCACTCAAATAATTAAGAATGGCCTTCCTGGTAGCTCTTACCCCCTCACCTTCTGTTCCCAGTGTCCCCATCATGCTCCACTCCCATGGTAGCTCTTACCCCCTCACCTTCTGTTCCCAGTGTCCCCATCATGCTCCACTCCCTTCCTGGTAGCTCTTACACCTTCACATTCTGTTCCCAGTGTCCCCATCATGCTCCACTCCCTTCCTGGTAGCTCTTACCCCCTCACCTTCTGTTCCCAGTGTCCCCATCAGGCTCCACTCCCTTCCTGGTAGATCTTACACCCTCACCTTCTGTTCCCAGTGTCCCCATCAGGCTCCACTCCCTTCCTGGTAGCTCTTACCCCCTCACCTTCTGTTCCCAGTGTCCCCATCATGCTCCACTCCCTTCCTGGTAGCTCTTACCCCCCTCACATTCTGTTCCCAGTGTCCCCATCATGCTCCACTCCCTTCCTGGTAGCTCTTACCCCCTCACCTTCTGTTCCCAGTGTCCCCATCAGGCTCCACTCCCTTCCTGGTAGCTCTTACCCCCTCACCTTCTGTTCCCAGTGTCCCCATCATGCTCCACTCCCTTCCTGGTAGCTCTTACCCCCTCACCTTCTGTTCCCAGTGTCCCCATCAGGCTCCACTCCCTTCCTGGTAGCTCTTACCCCCTCACCTTCTGTTCCCAGTGTCCCCATCAGGCTCCACTCCCTTCCTGGTAGCTCTTACCCCCTCACCTTCTGTTCTCAGTGTCCCCATCAGGCTCCACTCCCTTCCTGGTAGCTCTTACCCCCTCACCTTCTGTTCTCAGTGTCCCCATCAGGCTCCACTCCCATGGTAGCTCTTACCCCCTCACCTTCTGTTCCCAGTGTCCCCATCAGGCTCCACTCCCTTCCTGGTAGATCTTACACCCTCACATTCTGTTCCCAGTGTCCCCATCATGCTCCACTCCCTTCCTGGTAGCTCTTACCCCCTCACATTCTGTTCCCAGTGTCCCCATCATGCTCCACTCCCTTCCTGGTAGCTCTTACCCCCTCACCTTCTGTTCCCAGTGTCCCCATCATGCTCCACTCCCTTCCTGGTAGCTCTTACCCCCTCACATTCTGTTCCCAGTGTCCCCATCATGCTCCACTCCCTTCCTGGTAGCTCTTACCCCCTCACCTTCTGTTCCCAGTGTCCCCATCAGGCTCCACTCCCTTCCTAGCTCTTACCCCCTCACCTTCTGTTCCCAGTGTCCCCATCAGGCTCCACTCTCTTCCTGCCTCTCTGACCCTTTCCCCTCGAAGTTTTGTACATGTTGCAGAGTAATATGATGTGTTCAACATTTTCTTTCACTCCACACATTCTTCAACTTTCCTTTTCCCATTAAAAACATTGTGCCGTTTAATCCTGTATGATCCAGTCTGAGTCTAGTGATGGTGATCTCCTCCCGTCTGTTCCTTTTTGTATAGATCTTTGTTATGACTGATTGCTGTACCTTGTGGCATCTCCTCCTTTCCTGATATTCCTCCCACCTTTTCTGCCATATTTCCATACCCTTCTTCTTAATTATTGCTTTTCCGTCTCCTTTTCCAAGTGAAACTGGTATTGCTATTTCCTTTTGCTACGCATCTTTTGCTAACTTATCAGCATGCTCATTCCCTTGAACCCCCTCATGTGCAGGCACCCAGCATAACCTCCTCTGAAGTCTCAGTAAGCAGTGGTTAAGTTCAATGATTACTCTACGGCTGTGACTTGATCATCCTTTCTGATCAACATCCATTCCCATAATTGGTCTGTGGCTGAGAGGAAGAGCAGTTATCATGTTGATTTCCTATAGTGCTGCTTGTTAAATGTGTGCGTTATCTCACTGCTTTTTTTACTGGGTGGACGGAAACACTATGGACGCGCTCGTGAACTGTCAACGGGGGGGGTACACTGTGGACCTCTGTGTCGCCTGTCAGCTCAACATGATGTCGTTTAAACAATATAATAATAAAGGGCGGTGTCGGCCGTCAGCGAACCGATCCGGCCTTTCTTTGCGACTGTCACTCAAATGCGGGACAAATAATAAAAATGCTATGTGTGCAGTCCCAAAAAAAGCGGGACACCTGGTCACCCCCATGTTGGTGAGGAGGTCCGTGTTCATATTATGGACCAAACTTGGATTTAAACATCTCCGACATTAAATGGAGAGCCAGCCAGCTATAGTTATTAACCAAGACACTGATGAGGATTTTTCAAAAGTATTTATTATGTAGAATAAAAAAAAACTATTTGACGAGACTTGTCATATCAACAACTCTGCATATAACAAATAAGCATGTAGTTCAGGGGTCTTCAACTAAAATTCAACGAGGTCCAGTTAGAGAAAATGTCCCCATGCAAAGGTCCGGAACATCAAAATGTCTAACTTGCTTCATGAATTAGTGTGATATATATTGAAGTAGCTGAAGCTTTATCAACGTCTGCATGTAATCAACAACTGACTGCCAATCAAATAAAGAAAGTACAATTCAAAAACAACAATTTATTGTTAATTAACATTACTTAAATACTGTGGATATGTGTAATGTTCCTCTCGGGCTGCATTTACAAATAAAATAGAGAAAATAAATAAAATAGCTTTTGAAAATGTGTGCATCTTAAAAGTGCTTAATTTTAGATAAATAAAATAAAGTGTAGCAGCAGCTTGAGTTTCCCTTTTTCTTTGTTAACCGTTTCACATCATGACTTAACAGTTTCAGACGATTATAGAACATATCAGTCTTTACATCATAACAATTGAACAGTTTTAAGTTTCTCTTTCTTTCCCTCTTATATTGCAGTCCCTCACTCACTTTTTTAAAATTCAGTGCGAGAATTGAGCTCGAGCTTATCCTGCCAGGAGTTTGTAAATCTGGGCCGACATGGAGTCAGGGCCATTCTCACACACATGCAGGTGCTCATTGGTTTCAGTGATGCAAACACAGGTATGGTGAAAAAAGAGAGAACTATTCGAAACAGAAAAAACCAGCGTAATATACCATCTGACAAAGGCCTGCTATAATGCTTCAATTAACTGTTCTTTATAATATACTCAGATCAATAGGAGACAGAGATGTTAAGTTACAAATCAAGGGTTTTTATTATTATTTACAGCAGGGGTGGGGAACTGTGAAGCTGACCGTTGAGCGGCTCAGACTAAGCAAGGAGGCATTAAAATCATGTGCATAAAGTTCACAGCCTCAATCCTGCTGTTCTCCTTGCACACATCCTGCAGCCACAAGGATCTCACACACCCTACCAGCCTCCCAAACAGACAGGGCAACAGACCCTATTATACACCCACTCTAATCAGCACAACAAGACACCGGTGAGGGGGGAGGAGACAACACATGACACCAGGTGCACACAATCATCAGCCACAGACATCAACATATTATTTATATGTCAACTGTACTGTGCAATCACGCTAATAAAGTGCAATATTACCCGGCCTGAAGCCGTCAGTCCATAGTGACGAAGTTACCTTCGTCACAGGAACCTTTTTCGTTTCAATTTTTACAACATCCTCCGAGGGCCGTACAAATGATTGAACTCAACCTCTGCTTAAAAAAACTAAAATCACAGCCCATTAATTTGGCCTTTCTTTCATTCTGTGCAAAGAACAAGCCACCTCTGAATCCAGATATCTCACCATGACTCATGCATGCACGTGCACGGTGTAGCATGACCACCAACACAGAAAGATATGGACACAAGATGTGTGCAAATCTATTTAGTATCCTATCCATGTGAACATGATTTAAGTGGGGGGGGGGGGGACCTAACCTCCTCTAGGGGGGTCTGGGGGCATGCTCCCCCGGGAAGATTTGTTTTTAAATATTGAAGTTAAAAGCATCAATCTGGTGCACTTTGAGAGCAACATTAAGAGATCTGGATACATCTCTCAACACCCATATGAAACAGAACTGGAAGCATATTTTTCTTTTTGGATATTTTACAAATCACTCCCCTTTTAAACTCTATTCTTGTTATTTTTAACAACTTTTTTGTGACTGTCATATAGTATTTTATACCTGTTTTTCATTTAGTCTCATTAATAACTATATTGATCATATCAAGGTGTGCCTTAACCTCACTGAGCTGAGGTTATTTGAGCCTCTCAGGAGAGAGCTCTCTTCCACCTGGTTGTAGAAAAGCTCTTTAAATTCGTTAGCATAGCTAGCTAACCAGATGCTAATAACAACAGATCGCCACTGTGCTTACAACTAAAGACACAGCGGCATGTGTACGGCTCCTTATGGGTATTGCAATATTTGAAGGGCTGGAGCGGCGTTCCGGTGCTCTCTGTCAGCACTCCTTTCAGACGAGACATATACCACGTGAATACACGTTACGCTCGTGTTGTGTTCAAGGAACCTGTCCTTGGTCAGGAAAAACAGGTACTCGCTTGTTTAATTATTTTTGCGGTCTAGATTTCTTCTTTTTTTAAGTGAGAAGTTGCCGACCCCTGATGTAGTTGAAGCAGTAATATAGAGCACCTGACCATCAGCTGGTCTTGAAAACAAATCATGTTTGACACTTCACATTCTTCTAAACCTACAAGCTGTTGCTACTGAAAACTGACTATAAAAAGCTTGGCAAATCAAGCTGAATATATCCACTTTGCACACATCCTGCACAGCCTCGCTCTCCACAGGGACATGTCAACGTCCTTGTCACGGAGGTGATCTCTGGGCTCATAGATCTCGGCCTCCGTTACGGGTTGTTTAGTTTTTTGTTGTTGAAAAGTGTTCCCCTTTCCCCATGTCTGTCGTTGATTGTGTGCACCTGGTGCCCTGTGTTGTCTCCTCCCCCCTCACCTGTGTCCTGTTGGTTTGATTAGTGTGGGTGTGTATTTAGGCTCTGTTGCCCTGTCTGTTTTGAGGCTGGTAGTGTGGCTGAGATCCTTGTGGCTGCTGACTGTGTTCAGGGGGACAGCAATTGAGGCTGTGAATCATGTGCTTATGATTTGAATAAATGCCCACACCGGGTTGTATTTTTGGACGTTCTGCCTCTGTCTCCTTGCTTGGTCGGGCCGCTCAATTGTCAGCTTCACAGTCCTTCTTCTTTGTTTCCATCAGGTGAGCGTCTGAAGAAGATCACAGAGACTTTGTGTAAAGTTACAGCTGGAACTGTGACTCTAAATGTGGAGTGGGCCTGTTTGATCTGATGCAGGAGGCTCTAACCTGACTGGACTTCACACCGCCAACTGATGAAGAGAGAGACGACACAATTATGGCGCGTTTCCACTGCAGCGGGTAGCTCGCTTTAAGCGTGCCGAGCCGTGCGGGGCCCGTTTTTGGTTGCGTTTCCACTTGGCCTAGTTTTGGCCCGGGGCTACTTTTTCACCTTTTTTCTGGCCCGACTAAATCGTGGTTCTAGGGCCAGGAACAACCAGGATGAGTCGGGCTGAGTATGCTAAACTAGAGAGAGAATCGCTGGCAAGGGGGCTACAACTACAACAAGATGAACATATTTGACCGTGATTTAATTGTAATACACGTTTCAAAATGATGCCGAAGTAACAACATACTGATACCGGTTAGTAAAAACCATGAATTAATGCTTTGACAAGTCTGCAGACAGACGGCAGGCGAAAAACCCTTTTTTTTAAATGCGTGTTTTCTAAATGGAGCTTGGCTAAGCCAACGTTATATATGCTTTGACCGTCCACACTCACAACAACGGCCTATACAGACATAAATAAAGCAGCGACTGTATTCTCCATGACACAGGCAGTCTGTGGTTTGTACTTGTTTAACTTTTGTCTAGTTTCTGAACAGATATGAAGAGCTGTGAGCTCTGAGTGCTAAGAGCTAACGGCTGTGTTGTTTTTCTGGGGCTCTCATTGAAGATGACGTCACGGCTCCGCCTACACTACGTTACTATAGTTACTGCCCCAGTTCCTAAACTGTAATGGAAGCGCAGCATTAAAGTGAGCCGGGCCTAATAAGGCCTAACCAAACCGAGCGAGGCCTGCAGTGGAAACGCGCCATTAGACCCTCATTCATGAAACCCGCGTATACTTTAAGATTTTATAAAAATTAATTCATATTTTAAAGTTGATGCCAATTATTTCTTGTCTAAATTCATTGGTTTCAACTCAGGAAGTTGTCTTTAAACACAAGTTCTCTTCACATTGCATTTATGAGGGAAATGTTGTCAATAGGTCCGCTCTCTCTCACCTCTATCTCTTCAGGTTCAGGTGCTTCAGTGCTGGAGCGCAGAGCTTTCTTCTTCCTGGATTAAGGACAACAACAAATACAGATTTTATTTCATAACAGTAAACTAAAACACGTAAGAAGGATGTTTAAACTGATGAAATATATTGCTGTACCTCATCCACAGACTCAAGAGAAACACAGGAATCAGAATCAAGACCCCCAGAGTCATCCTGATGATATTCACTATCATTGTTGAACTCCCTAGAAACATGAACACATGTGATACTTCTAACTATAGATTGATAAATCACATTGTCAGTGTGATCCACCTCTGACACCATGGAGGTTCCTCCCTGAACACTGACATTTTGAATATGCTTGGGTTGCTTCATATTACAAAGTGAATCAGGTCTGGTGAATGTAGAGAACTTACCTGTTCCAACACTCAGATGAAAGGTGGAGTTGCTACGTCCTAACTTGTTCTGGGCTCCACAGGAATAACTCCCACTGTGTTCAGCTCTGAAGTCAGTGATGTTGAAGATCTGTCCTGAAGCTTTTGGAGAGTCTTCATCCTCCTTGTATCAGGTGTAGTTAGCTGCTGGGTTAGCATCACTGCTACAGGTCAGAGTCACTGAACTGCCCTCCTCTATCTCAGCAGAGGGACTCACTGACACAGAGGGGAGCTTTGTAGAGTCTGGAGGAAATACAATAAATCAACAGAAATGAGTAAAAATAGATCATGTTGAATTGAAAAGGAAAATCGTTATCTGTGTGAGCATCTGACTTTCGAAGTGTTTTTTGACAGGTATAGAGCTAAAGACAACAATTATGTTGTATATATATATTCCGTTCTCTGCATTACTTCTGGTTTGAATACCCAGAACATACAGTACGTGCAGATTTGGGAGCCAATTGTTAATTTTTCAGCCTTCGTCCTCCTTTCGCCGCAGATTACTGAAGGAGGCCATGACCAGGAGACGCTCTGAAGGTCTCATTCTTCAAGGAACAAACCCCACATCCTTGCCGCAGCAGACCCCGGCTGTGACCACCCAGCCTCAGCCGGTAAGAGCTGCTCACATTGTGGATACTGAACGTGACCTGTTTGGTTCTGGCGGAGCCCCGTCTACACTCCCACGGCCGCTCTTCTCCCCCTCAACCTTGATTATCGGCGATTCCATAGCCAGGAATGTGCGTTTTTTTAATGCATCAACACACTGCCTCCCCGGTGTCATGACATCCCCGACATTCAGAAAAAGCTCCAAGATTTACTGCCCACACTCTCGTTATCAATCAAAAGAGTGATAATCCACGTAGGCACAAACGATGCAGCTCGTCAACAGTCTGAGTTGACCAAATCTGATTTTAACCACCTTTTTGACTTCCTAAAGAACCGTGGAATGTCTGTTTTTATTTCGGGGCCGATTCCCACAGTAGGCCGCGGCACCGCTCGCTTCAGCAGACTGCTTAGTCTTCACACCTGGCTGCAGTCCACCTGCACAGCTCAGAACGTCGGGTTTATTGACCATTTTAACCTTTTCTGGAATCGCCGGTCTCTTTTTAACAACGACGGCGTACATCCAAACAGAGCAGGTTCTCAGATGTTGTCCGCTAATATTCAACACAGTGCTGTCCTATCCTCGTGCCTGACTATTAATATCAAACCCATCTTCTTCTGGGGTATCGGGACAGTCTGCTGAACCTGGGGATTGGCGCCCCCTGCCATCGTCCGCTGTCCCCTACAGCCACGCCAGCGCTAGTCACAACAACGGTCACTGACCCTGAACGCATTATCTCTATGTTTCCGCCACAGACACTCCCAATCCTGCTCGCCAGCTCTACCCAGTGGCCAACGAGGCAAATACAAAGAAGAGGAATTCTACACAAAAACCTCATAAAAGTGAACACCAAAAGTACATTAATGCAACAAAACAAGACAATTAATTGTGGACTGTTAAACATCAGATCTTTGTCATCTAAGGCTGCATTAGTTAATGACTTAATAACAGACAATCAGATTGACTTGTGTTGCCTCACTGAAACCTGGTTGCGACATGAAGAATATGTGACACGAAATGAAGCCACTCCACCCAGTCATATGAATACTCATATTGCTAGAGTCACTGGTCGAGGAGGCGGAGTCGCAGCCATCTACGACTCAAGTCTTCTCATAAATACAAAATCAAAACAAAACTATAACTTTTTCGAAAGCCTGATTCTTAGTCTTTTGCACCCAACTTGGAAAACAATTCAGCCAATATTAATTGTCACAGTGTATCGGGCCCCAGGTCCTTATTCTGAATTCATATCTGAATTCAGACAGGGGAGCTCCGCACCCCCTGCCTGCCGCTAGGGGGTGCTGCAGCGCCCTCAGCACCCCCCTTCCCGCGCCCATGCATAAAACAGTTAAAAGACTAGAATTAAACAATCGAAAATGTAAACATCTCAAATAGAAATAAAATAGCAGAAAATATACATAGTGTGAACAGCTATCTTACCTGTTAACATATACATGTTAGGCTAACGCTGCCTTGGTTAAAGAGCCTGTTGCTGTTGTTTATTGCTTTGAATAGTTTAAAACAAATATTATCTTCTTAGACTTGAATGGTAGTCAGGAGCATCACTTCCTAATGTTTGATATATTTAGAGGGAGGGAAGGAAGGTTTCAAAATTCAGATTAGATTCATTTCTACAATTTCTTTAATTCATGGTGGTTTCAGTAATCCCCTGGTAATTGAGGACATAAGTAATCTAAATGAGTAATGTCTTCTTTATGACTTCCAGAAAGGACAGGAGACCCACAGGTGCATATCAATGATTGTCAACTGACAGTAAATAAATGGAATTCAATAAACATTGAATAGCATGCATGCAGTTTGTCTGTGCCTTTTCCTCCATGTTGTCCTGGCATATAGTCTCCCCCATGGTTTGCTGTGCTGCCGGGGGATGCTCCAAGCGCTCAGAGAAAGGAGTACACATGTAAGGTTTCCCCACTGACACAGAGAGGAGGAAAGAATGTCTGGCTCAAGTCAGCAGGAGCAATTTAACTATCACAAAAGACAACAACAGCAACAACATATGTGAGGTAATCATATTTTTCACAAAACGAAGACCACACCATTGGGAAGCTTAATGTCTGTTTAATAAAAATAAGGAACAGGGAGAGGCTTGCAAAGCTCTGGGAGTTGAGACTCAGGCTCAGGGTGAGGGTCTCGTTGCAGGTCTTCAGGCTCCATTGAATCCCCCTGGGGTTCTTGTGCTGAAAGAGGGAGACAGGAGAAAGGGTTAGATACATCTAGCAACCTATAGGATGGGAAATTGCTGACCTATTTGAAACGTACCATGTGTTTTCACTCTCACTTAAGTCCCTCTCCCTTTGCCATCAATCCAAAATCAGCTGAGCTGCAACATAATACAGACAGGTAATAATCAACAGAATCACAAGGACATAATATGGCTCTGCTAAAAACACTCACTCATAAGTTACGTTTTTGTTTACTGTTTAGAAGTCTCAAATATCCACTCTACATCCATATCAATAGCGATGTATCACACAAATAGCTCTCTTCCTTATTATTGTGTAACGTTAACTATATTATACTAGCTTGAACTCTAAAATGGATATCCTCATTTCACCACCTCCACCCACTACAATCACACGCCCCAATGTTATATTTAACTAATATGTAACTCCCTCCACCCCGGATAAAAGCACGTTAAGAAGCCCCTTTTCTCTAATTCCACAACGTTGGAGGAAATAACATTAGGAGAACGGATTAACAGGCTGTTTGTGGTTAACGTGTGTTGCTAACTTTATCCGGCATTCTAATCTGTTATCTGTAAACGTTAAATATACTGATTGAAGGGATAATCCACTAACATCCTTTAATACACATGTGTAGTTAATTTGATTCAGATGTCCTGATAA